GACATACATAAGTATACATCAAGGGGCATTCCAGTCCATAGTCTGCTATGCGTACTGCATACAGCTACGGGGATAAATATATGGAGTGTATTAACCAAATAAATATTAAGGGGGCGATTCTCCACTATCATTGGTGAATATTATAGAGGAAGCGGGGAAGATAGTGCCACCAAGGCACACCGAACGCAGAAATATAACACTTCCACTTAACGCCGGTCTTCTGTGAGGTCGTGGTACTAACCCGGACGGACCAGACCATTCGTGCAACAGCGAAAATTTGTGTCGCTCTACCGCAGTTAAGGATACTAATACGAACATTATGTTCATTGAAGATGTTTGGAGACTATCGTCATCTTGGCCATTTAACATGTAAGTTGCAATCACAACGGATTTTATGGAGTTTTATTTTGTTTTGCAATCAATCAAATCAAATGTTGTCATCGTAACATTTTATCGAAAATGTTTTGCATCCTTACTAATATTATAAAGGTGAAAGTTTGTATGTATGGATGGATGTTTGTTACTCTTTCACGCAAATACTACTGAATGGATTTTAATGAAACTTGACAATGATATAGCTTATACATCAGAATAGGACATAGGCTATAAGTTATTACATATTTTTATGTATATCTGTCTTTCTGTCTGAGTGTTACGCCTTCAGCCTATTCTACGCAGACGTAGTCGCGGGCAGCAGCTAGTTCTGAATAATTCAACTGTGGCTACAAGCCACAATCCAGAATTAATAGAATTTGGTGACTGCTTAGCTAATTGTTCGACCATAAATTGCCTTTAAATCAAAATTACACGCATGCGAATCGAACAATCTCCTGCCACTTTAACCGACTTCAAAAGGAGGTGGTTCTCAATTCGACTGTTTTCTTTTTATGTTTGTTACCTCGGAACTTTTGCCGAGTGAACCGATTTTGATGATTCTTTTTTTATTTAAAAGCTGGTGCTCCCCATATTATCCCATATTAATTTCATTGGTATTGGATCTTGGGCTCCGGAAATACTAGGGAACTCCTGAAAATCGATTATAAAATGAATACAGAGCGAGATATTTGAAGTCGGTTTCGTTTCTCGTTATTAAAAATTGTTTTTTTTTTTATTTGACGACCCAGTTGGCGGAATTGCTAAGCGATAGACTTCGCTGCCGTGAATAGTGGTTTCGATTCCCGCCTGGGACGAGTATGTGGCCTAGATGACAAAACTAAAACTGTGTAATAATAAGCTAGATCAATCGATAAAAGTATGTTTAGATTCCTATTGAATTACTAGCCTAGATAAAGAATTCAAAACCTACGTACTTTATGTCACTGGTTACAGTTTAAATGTTAACTTTGAATTGTAGGGAAATTTATGTGTCTTTGTAGAGAAATTGATTTTCTACATTAGTGTAAGAAATTAATAACTGTTAACTACATTCATAGTACATCTGGTGTGCTATTTGTTCAGGTAATACAAATGGTGAGTAAACGAGGTTAATCATAATGATTTCTCGGACATCTTGGATATTAATGTTTTATAAATAATATTTATCACTCAGTAATACAGGTGCTTTAAGAGAGATTACTGGGCTGGTTAACTCTACGTCGCTAGTTCAATCCTTTACGGTTTCGTTGTATTACAAAAATATATACAATGCAATACAAACTCATCAACTAATATTTCTTATATTTTAGGCGAAAGATTTTCATTAAGTGTAGTGAGTTATATATAAATAGGCTAAAATGTTGAAGGAAACAAGTTTCTTTTAAAAATGTACTTTTCCATATTATCTTTATGAACATATTCTATGGTGAATTGGACACATACACAACTACATTTTATAAAATAAAACGTCACGGGTTTTTCTCTCTGCCTGAATGCTATAAATTCAAAAACTACAAAATGATTTTTTTACGGTTTGTTAGATGGGACGGACGGAAACCTCCTAAAACCTAAAATCTCCTCATGAGGCGAATTCTCTATAGTTCTGTGTAAATTGTCTGAATATTAAGATGAATGTTGAAAGTCGTACCGCACGAATAGAAATAACACTCGGTAAGCAAGCGAAAAAGAAATGTAGGCACATAATATGCTTTGCTAACCCTGCGAAATCGAAGCGTATAGGTAATTATGATTAGGCTCTTATGATGGTATAGAGTATGGTGTGGACAGGGCTTATTAACTTCTTAGAGGCGATGATAAACTGAAATTAGTTGAAGAATTTGATATAGTAGGGCAGTTATATTTTTACCCCTCAAGTATATGATCAATGTTTAATGAATACTTTCGCGAACACGAACTCATCCTCAACTAGTCGGTACATACATCAAATGTCAGTTAAGCCATTTTAGTATTTTATTAATACTTAATTTTAATATAAAGCCTCTTTTGTTAATGAGTAGGTAGTAGTTGAAAATCATTTCGACGTGGTTTTTGGTATGAAGCAAACGATAATGATGATCAATTTTATTATTCTACCACCAAACACTACATAACCATTTACGACCTGCTAAGATAAGGCATCAATCATACGTGTTATAAAAACTCTTTTGGTTTAAATCATAATATTATAGATATAATGGTATTTAATGTGTAAATAAATTATGTCATAACAAAACATGTGTATGTCGGTTACTTATGTTATATCTTAAAGTCGCTTGCGGTAATTCGTTCCCACGCATGTGCTTGCTATTGTGAGGTTTCGTTATTAAAGGAAGGCTTTCGACCAGTTTGCCAGTTTCGAATTATTCGCCGAACGTACGATCATGTAACATATGGTGAAATTGTTTTGTTGCATTCTCGCTCCACAGCCTTATTAAGTAACAATGAAAATGTAGCGAGGTATGTTTTAATATACATTTTAATACTTATTATTTATTTGTTATGTTATAAATTTTAATACTTATTATGTTTGTTAAGAACTAGATCTTCTAAGATATAGTTGGGTGGACCAACTTTTGTCTCAATAATTACTATATCTTTAAATTAAAACTTGATTTCTCCTCTAAATATAGTGCAGGAGCTTTGAAAGTGCTTTCTAATATACACAGTTTGTGTACAGAAAACATAGAAAAAGGCACTATCTGTGGATTGACTAATAGAAAGTCCTTAATTAATGGTTTATTTATCATGTAGGCTAATTAGTTGCAAACGAAGACTGCATAAACTCGTGTGATTTTTGGTCACCTACCGGCCTGATTTAAACTAATTACAAAATATAACGAATCAGACTTTAGAAGACTATACACATAATGCTAATTGGGATTTGCGTGTTAAATAGATTAAAGAATTAAAAAAAATCGAAATAGATATAAGCCTTTAAAACATTTATATTCCATTCCAAATTTGTATTTTTCTCTATTCAAGTTGGATTTTAATAAAAGTTATTTTTTTTTTTCAATAGCATTACGCGCAATAATGTTGAATAAATACACAATCGCCAGTTAGCCACTACACACTGTCCGATTTACATCACGTGGGAAACTTTGGAAAAACTATTAACATTAATTAGGTTTGTTGCTCTGACGTGTTAATGTTTAAGGCATCGGCCAGTTATGATTCCGTTGTTGTGGCGATAGATTCTATGAACGCGTTTAAGGAGAGTTTTAACAGACTGCTTTCGATACAGTTTTTAAGGTTTTTGTTTGGAGAAAGCGGTATCTTTTGAAAGTTACAAGTAAATAATTTAATAAATTATTGAACGATTAAATATTTACAATGCTTAATCAATACATGATGCAAATCTTGGTACTTTTTTTACGAAAATTGAGTGGACGGAGGAGTATGAAATTTTCCACACTTTAAGTTTGTATAGAGAGGGAGTGCAGAATACTAATAATATTTTTTTTAATTATCTAAAAAAATAACATTAAATCACAAAGAAAATATTATAGATTCTACCATGTATAAAAAAAAGGTCGAATTTCGACCACTAGGCGACCACTAGTATTAACTAAATTGCATGTTATCTAACGAACCTAGCTCATGCGATATGGTGCCGAGAACCCTGATAAAGAACCAGCGCTTTTGCACCAGCCTAGATAAGTCCAGGGCGTTAATTTTTCAAAAACTGTGTGCGGGGGTCTACTACTAACATTACAACAGCAAATTGGAATGGTTATTTACTGGGAATATATTTCACAGTCGTCCGTCAGTATAATAGTTAAGGTAAAGTCCCGTTCTATTTCGTTTTCGTTTCTGCACAATAAGCAAGCGTATCGGAACTACAATGATGATATAGTTTTATACTTTTTTTTTGTAATTATGTACACTCCTTTATAAGATCGTTTTACGGGGTGGAGGGTTGATTACTTGAGACATAATACAGAAATACAAGATTCGTCCTAGTTCAAATGTTAATCCACCATAATCTATCTATTATTATGTTTCAGTTTTCAAGTGTTTCTGTGTCTTAATTTTATAATTTGTCTTAAGTTTATAGTCACTACTGTGGATTATGATGAGGAATAAATTATTATTATCAATACAATAATTACAGAAAAAAGATTATTAATAACTATTAAAGTTTATTTCAAACTCTACGAGCGCAGAAATCGTAAATGTAGACTCTACACTGACAGTTTGATGGTATCGGATGCAGCATCCATACACGGCTGTCTTCTAATAACGCAGTGACATAACCAGAAATGCAGAAGCAAGTCCGCGTCCGCGCATTCTGCTTCCGTTTCCCTATGCAGTTTCTGTGCAACCGCGCAGGTAATGATAGAGCGACAGTCTGCCAATGTAACAACTATACAACCAACCACAGACAATTTATATTTCTCATCAACCGGTGGTTTACAAATATGATGTAATATACTTTTTACTATAAGTGACTGTTCGTTTTTTTATGTAACACTAGGTGATGATTCCCTAAATACACCTACAGAAATATACGCACATATTTACATGACATATTATAGCATACGTCTGGAGTGATATAGCTTGATAGAGCCACGTAAAAACAACATTTTTTTGATTTTAATATTGAGATTAATATTAAAACTTACCGCGCTCAAGAAGCTATCCAAGTCCCTGATGTCGTAGCCGAACCTCGGCTCGCGTCTCTTCTTCCTCCTGTGCCTGTGCCGGTGCTTCCGCCTAGCGTACTCCTCAGTGCCGCTTGTATCGGAGCAGGACTCGCGGCCGAGCTCGTCGCAGGTAGCCCTGAGCCTCAGGTTGTGGTAATTCTCGTTGCGGCCGACAACCCTGCTCACGTGGGCTTTGTACTTCGCGACGAGGCGCCCGTCGCTTGCCTGGCTGCAGTTTTTGCTCAAGTAGCCCGCGCCCTTGCCTCCGTCGTCGCGTTTCGCTTTCGTGCCGTCTATCCCGTCCTTGAGCACCCACGTGAGTGATATCTTGGACTTGTGCCGGTGCGGCAGCGGCGTGGAGTGCCACAGGCCCATTTCCTCGACCTCCGCGTACTCCACGTCCGATTGGCGGCTCTCATCAGAGCTCCGGCTGATCGTGCAGTGGGCCAGTAAGTCTAGCACCTCGCACACGGGTGGGTCGTCCTAAAAGTGGATTAGTTGCTTGGACAAATCTGAACCAATAATTTGGATCAACTACTTCTACAACTAGTATTAATACTTATCGAAACATTAAAATTAATAAGGTTATTGCAACAGTTTACCTATAAGCAATATGACATAGTGTTCATTGCCCATATTGATATTTATGCAAATTTAGACACGACAAAGTGAGTTAACACTCACTTTTTCTTGCCTAAATTAGTGCAGGATTTTTTTTATTCATAATCGCTTTCATTTTTATTTTATTTTCATTGGGCAAATAATAAAAAAAAAAGTTTCCTACGGGTGTTGTAAATTTCCATGGGCGGCGGTTATCACTTAACATCAGGTGAACCGCCAGCTCGCTTTTCACCTTCTCATATTAAAAAAAATTGATTCGTAACAGACAACTTTTTTTTCATTAACTTTCTCGTTCATTATATTGCATGCTGTCAATTGATAGGTAAAATTATAATGGCACTAACGAACAATTGATGTATTTTAATTAGTTTAAATTTTACGCCTTTTCGAACTAAATAACATCTCATTATAGACGATGGGTCATAAAGTAAAATGTTAAACTTGATAACATGCGAGTAAGATAAAATGTCGACGAGGAACAAGAAATCATTTAATTATCATTTTTACGACTGTTGGTATTATACATATAGTATTCGATCGAATGTGCACATAAATTAATTACAATGCTTTTATGTATGGAAAGTCGATTTGGTGTGAATTATTGCGTGAAATCGGTATTAATCTGTGCGGTGCCGGCGGACAGCGCTGTTATTATGTTATTTAGCGAGATGATTTAAAGCAAGCACATACGGAGCATCATTAAACTAAATCCAGTTTTGCATTAGAGCCTGTCAAATATGTTTTATGTTACATTTGGTTCGGAAAGTATGGTGTGGAGTTAAAAATTAATAATAGTATTAATTTTGTCCCTTAAAATTAACTTTTTTTTTTCAAACACTAATCTAAGCAACCTGTTAAAAATGCGAAATGATGAGTAAACTTCATAAAAGACAAGAACTGCTTTCTTTTATTGTGCAGTAATGCCAAATGGATTTAAATGAAATTTAAAACGGTAACAGTGTATTCCCTGTATTATTAAATATCCTTACTAATATTATAAACGCGAAAGTTTTTATATATGTATGGATGTTTGTTTTCTTTCACGCAAATACTACTGAATAGATTTTAATGAAACTTTTCAATAATATAGCTTATAGGTACATCACAATAACACATAGGCTACAATTTATATATATATATATTTTATGTATATCTGTCTTTCTGTCTGAATGTTACACGCCTTCAGCCTATCCTACGCAGACGTAGTCGCGGACAGCAACTAGTCATTAATAATATCCTGGGCAAAAATCTTGTAGACTAATAGGATTATATTATAACAAAGCCTGCCGACGAGTACCTAAATCTAGTTTAATTTATTAACATAGTCCTCCATATTTTGTACAACTATTTTATAGCAACACAGCTACCGGTATTGCACTAATATAGAATTTTCCAGCAAAACTTATACGTTTCGAAATTCACCGGGTCGCTAAATCGGAATGCTAATGCGAATTATCTAATAGGCCCACTTCCGCCGAAAACTCTTTAATTAATGTGTTGTTTAATTAATAAAACGTTTAATTAATATGTTTAATTAGTACGTTTAATTATACCACGTGGGCGCATCACTTTCGAAATTCGTGTGCTGCCAGTGTCAACGTTCAGGCTTACTCGTAACGTACCGTTTCCTGATGGCGAGGGATCGCTTCGCCGTCTTCGGGCGCAGGCGCGACGCTCTCTTGGTACGGCGGCGGAGGGTCCTTCGGAGTGGTTCCTGGCGATATCAGAGTCATTGGTCTCAATTCGAAAATCACACTCACTACAGGACAGAAGGTGATGAAAGAGCTGACTGTTAAAAGTCGTTATTAGAGGTTCACCCCGGAACTCTGCCTCGAGTTGCGATGTCAAGTTGACATCATAAGAGGGTCAATGGGCCGTGTTCACCTAGCTCACAAGAAACCCAAAATATCATTTAAGTGCCACGCGATAGTCTTCGCTGTTGCACGAACGAGCAGGTCCGTCCGGGGAAGCACCAGTACCTCACAGAATACCGTCGTGATGTGGAAGTGTTATACTTCTGCGTTTCGCCTGGTAGGTTAGGCAAACCACTTTATTAAAAGGTGGCAACGCATCTGCAACCCTACGGGTGTAATGGCACATGTCCATGGGCGACCGTCATCACTTAACATCAGGTGAATTGCCATCTATCTTCTTATAAAACCCAAAAGTATAAACACCACTCTACGCCAAAACAAGCTGTTGCCCGTCTCAACCATATACATTCAATACATTCCATTAAACTTTTCACATAGACTGCGGTTAAAGCTTACACCTTATTTCAAGATATTTTTTTATCCAACATCACACAATATTTTACAATAGTGGGATCCAGCCCATACCCTCTAGCGCAAGAAACAGACTACTACGTCAATCGGGTCCAATTATATACACTATACTATAAAACATTTCAAGGCAAAAAGTAATACCCATCCCATGCACATATCGAGTTTCCTTTCTAGTGCCAGACGTAACAACGACCACTGATCTAACGCAGTGATGATCATGTATGAAAGACGAAAAACCTCATTGGTGTAAGTGGCTGGGTTTTCAACCCACGATCTTATACCTAGTCAGATGACGTAGCCAAGCCTGTATTTTTTTTAATTACACTGATTCTTGCTCGTAATGAGCCTGAAATCTATAACTACTGCTATTTGAACCTCGAATTTCTGGTCGCAAACAATATCTCTCACCATTATCGTGCTCTGAATACGATAAAATATTATAATATATTAGATTATCATCTCCGTCACATATAATTATAATATATTATAAGAAATATTTTGGAGCTTTCACTCACTTTATATGACGATTTTCTTTATTTTCAGTGCGTTGTTATAAACATCGTTAAATTCGGTATAAAATGGGATTACACATAAAATTAAAAACTATCTTTACTTATATTCAAATATACACTTTATAACAACTTACAGTTATAGAAGTTTCTATATATATTGGATTATCCATACGGAACTTTTCATATTACTAATTAAACTTAATTAGAAAAAACTTTTTATCTTCCTCTTCACTGAACATCCGGTGAAATATCTTTTAACACTAAGCTATCGAAATTTTAAAAGAAAACCAATCATCCAGAAATAAATAATGGATTTTATTAACGGGAACACGACCGGTGTCCATAATACCGATTCTCGCCCATAAATAAGCACGACAACCGTAGCAAAATATTTTGAAAGAATATCACGTGCTCTGAATTTATCGAAAAACGCGCGCAAAATGGTCGCACTGACACCCGTCACTACAGGGTTCGCGCCAAACACTGATCCGTGCGGGCCGAAGAAAGCCCGATTGATAAACTATGAACGCCCACCACTAGCAAAAAGGGGTAAAACCTTGTTTTATCGTGCGCGAATGTCATAAAATTAGGGAATTTCACTTTTTGAAATTATACTTTTTTGACGCGGTGGGAAAAATTATGAGAGGTGTAAACAAAAGACCCTTGCAATTATTTCTAGTCAAGACTTGCATACAATAATCGCATTCAATTTTTTTTACTATATCTGCGTGTAAACTGTTGCTTACAATTCTTGATGGTCAATTATTGCGCGCAATTTATTGCATTCAATTATTGCTCTTGTATGTACAAGAAAATGGCATCGTGTAAATGGGCCATAAAATTGTTACCATGCGTGCTCACATCGACCTTCAAAAATCGACATGTGTGCTTGGTAACCAATTTAATAGATAAAGAAGAATAACTTTTTGCATGCGTACATGAGTAGATACACACATACTTTTTTTAAATTTCATTTTTATTAATATCCTCAGCTTCGTGCTTAAGGCCATAACGGCTTACTATATCGTAAAAATGACATACGGTTTCCATCTAAACTTGGCTATAACGGTTTTTTCATCATAAATTCAGTTACCCACTTAGTAAATTACTAAAAAGCGTAACCCATTTGACTAATTCGAAATAGTTTGATTGCGAAAAAAAACTATTCCAACACCGGCAACGAACACTTCGGTAATTAAAAATAATTAATGAAGTTTTTGTTTCACTAACGTATATTCATCAACCGTAACCCAAGGGTGAAGCCCTTAACAATACGAATTGGGCTGCAAATAGCTTAACGGTTTTTAAGAACTTGCGCTGTAAAAAAAAATTATTAACTCAAATCTCCTTTTCCAAATATACTCATATAAATAAACTTAATGGTGGCAGTGAACGCATATGAAACATTTTTTATCTGCCTTCACTGATTGCTGGTAATAATTTGTCGTTTTGGTAAAAATTCGTTATTTCTTTAACCCTACATTATAGCTTGTCCTTTATAAAAGGAATATATAAAGTGCTGAAGATCTACATGCTCTTTTTATCATAACAGCTTCAATGATTGTGTTAACTATGTATTGGTTTTCTCGCTTTTCATATTATCGTAACTTTACTCGATTATGCTATATTGATCAGGGTTGCAACTCCTTGGCTGTAATCTTCGTGGCAAAAGCCAATAAAATAAAAAAGTAGACTGTGCTTGATGTTTTCTATCCCACCAGGACTCGAGGTATGCACCGGTCAACAAGTATGACCCTAACGACATGGTAACATTCTCACGGGTCCACGTTGTGCCGCGGACGCACCGAACTCGCCGAATACGCCCCGGGACACGATCCGCAGTCCTCACAGGCTGGGAGTGCTGACACCACACTTTAGAGTGTTTAAGGACATAACGGGTCTTTTTAATAAAACTAATTTACGGATTTTATCGCGGTTGATTTTTATTTTAAACAGCTGACATTTCGAATGCTTTACAAGTTTACATCATTCAGTGCATCAAGCCGGACTAAGATGTTTGACGTTCTGGTTTCACTGTTACCCCGGACTACCGAAATCGATAAAATTAGTAATTTTATTCCGATCCACGCAGCAATCGTAAACGGTTAAAAACACGATAAAATCTGTAACTTACTTTTAATGCAATGTGTAATATTCGCATTAATAAAAGTAGTTATGATCATAGGTATTTCTTAGAATGTTACGAGTAAGTCTATTGACTTACTCGTAACATTCTAAGAAATACCTACCATAATATCCACAGAGATAGAGATTATCTACGAGAATTTTCTCAGCTATATAGACTTGTTATTCATTACAATCTACGGTTAGCCAAAGCATATGCAGGAGAGCTTTTATTTGTGCAAGCTACTGGATGTGTGACTTGAAACTTCAGATGCAGTTTATCTATCACACCATACGTGTATTATGGCCGACATCACATATTTTCTCATAGTTAAAAAAGAGAAACATACTGCTGACCGAATTATTTTCAGAGTAAACTATAAGAGAACGGCATCAGTATTTTTTTAGATAGAACTTTATTGGACGAAGACACTCGGAAAAATCCATGCAGTTGTATGGCGCTCCTAACTTGCGGTCACGAGAGTTTCATTATCCCTGCGTTTGTAGCTCGCCTAATTTAGACGGACGAGTGTTTCGGAGTCATTACCATCGGTCGATCGCACGCTCCGAAACTGTTGCCATTCATCTTTGTACATGTTGGACACGTTTATAATACGTCTTCATAATCGATAATTACTTTTAAAAAGTATCATGGCGTGCCGACAATTCAGATGCTGGATGAATTCTTTCCGTATCAGCACATCAGGTTTGGATCCCGATGGGCTGTGTTCAATTTAGCTTGATTGTTTGATCAAGCTAAATTGCCAGATGTAGAAACGTTCTGGGTTAAAGGCGGTTTCTGCATCCGGCTTGGGGCGTATTAAAGCAAGACCTTTTCTTACAAGGTGAAATGTCAACCCTTAGCCACCCTCGCGGATAAAGGGCGAGAACAAAACTCCACCGATGTTCCCAGGGCCTATATCGGGGGTGGAAAGACTTGTACCTCTTCAGTCAGTTATAAAAAAGCTCTAGGTAGAGCTAATAAAGCTTTCGGACGGGGACTTTGGGACGGACGAACTGGGTTTCCCACAAATTAGTGTTCTCATCCAACCATGATAATGGCATGATCAGGATCGCCTCTGAAAAGGCTGATGAACCGAGACTAATTAAAATATTTCTATCTAAATTTTTACTTTTTTATGTTGGTTAGTTTAAGCACTACAGCTTCTGCTGCTCTACGAAAGAAGGCCTATGAGAAGACCACCATACACTATTTAAATAATTGTGGCTCACTCCTTAAAAATTTGACATTCCCGTTAGTATTATGTATGTTCATGGGTGACAGTGATTATTTACATCCGGGGAACTTTCAGTTCATTTTCCACTAATCTCATATGTTATAAAATGCTGCTCTTTCTCTTGTAAAAACCAAAGGTAGAGTCTCTACCTTTGAGTTCCGAAGGTAGAGTAGTAGACTAGATATTACGGAGCACCTTCCTTCCATCCAATCACTGTTTTGGTTTCGACTATAATGACGAAGGAAGGACTAAACGACTCCGTCGTTTCTGCATTGAGAGAATATCGCTACTAAAACTACCGATCGTTACATGTTTACACAGAGGGGCATTCAAGAGCTCCCTAACAGTTTGTATTTACGAGAATCACGAAGGCAAACACTAAGGGTGCTAAGAACAATTAGGACATTAAATATCGCCTCTTGTTTTCTTATACTCTTAACACGTGTCACGCTTCCGAATTAGATCCCGGCGGCACGCGGGGAGAATTCCGACACCTGTGTTTATTTTTCGTTACTTTTTACCCTCATACCACGACGTGAATTGTTTGGTACAACATCACTGCTGTGACGCAGCG